TTTTTTTTTTTTTTTTTTTTTATATGCCTCAATTTCTATGAGCCACACAACAACTGAAACAATTCCATACAGAATTGCAGAATGTAATTCTTCATAAATGTGATGATCATCTCTGATACTTCACACGTTTTTAAGCACAGGGGGGCGTCAAACTGTATATATAGATAGGCCAAGAGTAAAGATGCCACTCTCTTTCAAAGTGCATAAAAGCATAAGTAGAAATATCGCCAAAGTGGCTGCGAAGAAGATTAAAAATAAACAAATTATCCAGTTGAAAATTACAAAATCAGTAGTTACCTTGTTTCGTTTTAACTTTTCTTTTGTTCACAAATGTTTATAACGCCTTAAGCATGTACCTATTTGCCTCTGCACAAGTGCTGGAAGGCCACTAAGGCAGAGACATCCCCCCTTCAACTGTGATATGTTTTGCCCCATGTTGCATACATCACCATTCCGTGTTTTTTTATATTACTTGTTGTTTTTCTCGTGTGTCTTTTGTGTCGAAATATCGTGACGACCTTTCTCAAAAATGTAGCATTTCGAAGCACATTTAACCACATAGTGCGCTGTTATTTTAGCCATGATGATTCATTTATATTTTTTTTTCTTCATTTTTATCATTCATTTTTTAGCACGTTGATTACTTTTACAAATATTCTGCATTACTAGTATGGCGCCCTTTTTGCAGTTAACACGGTGGCTTTACGCTTAACGGGAGGAAGGAACAAAATTTGTGCAATATTTTCACGTTGAGACGTATGCAACAACGTTACATGGCATGTTCATGGTATGTTATTGGAGGCTCATTGTCGCGCTTGCGCGTTTGGTTTTTTTCACTTTTTATGTGGCAACAAAGGTTTTAATGTTTTATTTATGTATTGATTCATTCATGTACCATTACTTTGTGAAGCAGATGATGATCGCATTTCATCGAAGTTGGGTTTCCTTTTGTTTCCATTTGTGGAGTAAGCCTCACCTGGTACATACCTCCTAGTGAACAAAGGCTTGTCACCTCACTCATATTGCATGCCGGGCCTGCGGCCTTTTGATGACATACACATTTGTTAAATGATTCGTTCCATGCTATATTATTTGCCTAAGCTCAAACATTTTACCTCGCTCATACACGAACGGCGCATTAGATGAAGGAACTAAAGCAAAGTGGGAGTGAATGGTGCCCTTTCCGTACATGTAAAAAGATATATTGCCCAAGTGCTACATTTGTGCTTGTCAGTTCTCTATTGCATTCTGAAGAGACAAATGAGCCATGAGCTTGACTTGCATGCCTCTGCAGTTGCATACAAAATTGTGCATATTGGAACACTTTTCATGTTCTCTCATTTTTGTTTAATTTGTGTGTCCTGAGGAAGCTGAAACGTGCTTTTTATGACTTGCCTTACTGTTTTCGCTTGTTCGTAATTTTCCTCAAAGTTACGCCGTTGGGCAGGGAAGCCACCATCGCCATGCTTGCGCAAGTAAATGTGTAGGCACAGACACACACAGGAACACTTATCGATGCAAGCACCAATAAGGAAACATATTGCCCCCACCCCCGGCTGTATCAATATTTTTTTTCGAAGTACAAAAAAACACAAGATGCCTTCTGCTCATTGTTTGATTAAAATAATGTCAGGAATGAGGGTATCGTGATCTTACATGTGCGTGCACGCATGACGTACACATGATTGTACATATGCCCGCACGAGTGAGACGAATGTGCTCGAAGCCATGCACTTGGTAACTCGCTCAAGCACATGCACATATGTCCAATGACACAGCAATGATTGAGCGACAATTCGGAGGTGCAAATTCTGCGAGCTGAGCTTAACAAGGCAGGGTGAGCTTTTCGCGCATCCGAACTTCCTCCAACACATGTTCCCCGTAACAAGCTCATATGTAAATGCAAGTGAAAAGAGGAAAGGTAATTATGAACAGTACCATGGCTCAATGAAAGGCACTAATGGAAAATTGCCATTTATGAAAATAATCAGTATAAAACATGTTGGACAGGGATTGTGCCTATTCAGAGGAAGGATGGAGAAATATGAGGAATGGGTGGAAAGTATAGGGTATTTTATGGAGAGCTGGATTATAAAACATTTCCCCCTCCATTAGCGCGCATCACCGCAGATCATTAGCTTGAGTCATTAACGTGAGGCATTAGCCCAGCTAATTGGCACAATTATACAACATTAATCAGTACAAAACGTTCTATCATGGCAGGACGAGGGAACTGAAAAAAGCAGTGTAAAAAATGAAGCCAAAGGACTTTATTTGGCACGCGCATTTTTTCTCTTGATCTGTGGATAACACTTGAGCATTTTTCATTACGTTCGAGTATTTTGCTTTATATTTGTTTAAAACAATTCCTTTATATGTAAATGTGGTTAATTACATTTTTTTTTTTTACCCTTCTCTTTGGCTTATTTTATTCAAATTTTTTTTCTTTGTACGAATTTTTTCCAGTGTGTTGTGTTTCACGTGTAATTACATGAAGTGAGGTTTGGGGCAAAAATATAATTTATACTTTGCACGAATAAATTTCCTACGATGTTACAAAGAACAGAAGTCATTTTTACACAAGGGTGTCCAAGAGAAAGTTACAAAAGTGCGCCGAGCATAACCTTTTGGAAAATACGATTAAATGCGGGATGTTTTCATAACCTTGCAATATAAAGGAATAAAAGGAACAAGAAATTCTTTTTTTAATTTCTGCAGGCACTGGTGACTTACTATCAATTTTTCGACTTGTGCTGACTGACCAGTAACACGTTTTATTAGGACCAACTCGTGCTAATAGGAAATTCAAAAATAAAGTTTAATAGTGATCTGAAATAAATGATGCTTGCAGGGAAATTTTCATACGTTTGAGCGAGGAAATTGGGACAAAAAAA